GAGCCTGACGCAGCCGCAGTAGCTAAGAGAAGCCGTTGCCGTCAGCTTGCCCGGACGTGGGAGGTTCCGGGGGCGGGGCCGCGGGGCCCGGGACGGCCCGGCCGCTCCCCGGCTGCCTTCGTTAGCACCGAGTAATTAAATAAAGACAGCCCACGTGCCCGTCCGGCACGACCCGCCTTCCGACGCCTCTGTGCCTGCCCTGGAGTAAAGATGGGAACGCTGCCAAATTCCTCTGACCTCAATCCGTTGGGAATTAAACCTCAACAGAGCAACTTCGCACAGAGGTTTTGCACCACGGAACAAGCAACCGACCTACCCACACGATGCCAGGCGAGGAATATACCTGTGCTTAAGAGCGTACACAGAGGACGCGGTGCTTCGCCGGCCGCTTGGCAGCCCTGCACTGCCGCGGTGCTCCCTGCGGCTCTGGAAAACCCGCCGTTTTGTCTTACAGATCACGCATTTCTGTCCTAACGTGCACGAGGCCGCAGCTGAGATGTGACGTCCTTAACCTGCACCATTTATTCTCTGTGGGCAAAGCGACGGTGTTCTAAATCCTCACTCCTAGGGGATCTAAATCCCCGCTCTTAGGGGACTGCAGAGAAGGCGTTTCCTGGCACTGCAGACCGACCTTCCCAGCAGCACCAGGAAGGCCAGGCATCTCCGGCACCGCGGCCTCCACCAACAGCCCGTTGTGGAAGGGACGTGCCTGCCTGGGATGCGAGCTCCAAATCCCGGTGGAACTCCCAGAGCAGGGACCACCAGCAGAACTCGCTCGGATTTTTGTCATGTTGAATAAGACACCCCAACTCAGGCTTTTTTAACCCGACGTCTCCCTGGGTGTATTTAGTAAAAGTCACCCACGTCACGGCGGGCACCCCACCCCGAGGGCTTCACACCACGGTCCTTTGCGGGGCCGGGCTTGAAATACCGTCCGTGAGGGCGCAGGAGCCCCTAAAAGCAGCGGGACCCCCGCTCGCTCTTCCCCTCGCATCCCCTTGAACCTTCCCGCTACCCGTAGG